GAGCACTACCAGGAGTGACTAGAAATAAGTCACAAGGTGGCAGAGGGTAGATTTGGGCTAGATATCAGGAGGTGCTACTTCACTGTCAGGGCGGCTAGTATCTGGAACCAACTTCCAAGCGAAGTGGTGCTGGCTCCTACCCTGGGGGTCTTTAAGACAAGGCTAGATGAACACCTTGCTGGGGTCATTTGACCCCAGTACCTTTTCCTGCCATGGCAGGGGGTCGGACTTGATCATCTGCTCAGGTCCCTTCCGACCCTATGAACTATGAAACTATGAGCCACTGTGCAAGAGCTTTTCCCCACATCGGGCCAGCCAGAATTTCCGGTTAGTAGAGTATTCTGGCTAGTTAAATGCCAGATAGAGATATTACTGTATATGATGTAAATCCAATAAATCAGAGGTTCCTAAACTTTTTCTTATTACATACCTCTTTCCAGATTTACCAGCTGCTCATGTACCCCACCAGCATACGTTTTATATTTTAATCCCTTAAATGCCAATTATTGATATAAGGAAAATTAAATATACCATTCCACAATGTCTCTAGGGTGCCCCCCAAGATGTCTTGTGTCCACCCAGGGGTATATGTACTGCAGTTTGGGAACCTCTGTGATATATATTTGAGATCTACCAAATGAGACTTGTGCCATGTTAGGTAGACAATGCATATTATTGTGGTCCCTCTTGAAAAAGAGCTGTCCTTTCCATGGAGCTAGAAAGCTGTGTGTCTAATTATATGTTAGCTTAAAAGCTCTGAGTTTTCAAAATCATTTTGAAGCAGACTTGTGACCAAGTAGGGGACAGAATGAAATGCTTTTTATTTTTTGTAACAGTTAATCATCGCTTCCTGCTTTTGACATGAACCAGGCTGTGTTCTTTGATAAGGCCTTCCGCTTGTTAATAGATGCTTAGGAATTTAGTAGCACAATAGCTAAAAATAATTTTGTCTATAAATGAGAGCAGGCAAATAGGAGTTTTCTGCCTTTTACGTTTTCCATTGATACACACTTACTCCCAAATATGTATTGTTGTTTGGAATTCCCTTGTTTTGTGCAGTTCCTCGTATTCACACTTCAGCATTGTTTTAATTTTTTTTTTAAATTACGTTATTGTAATTTGGTTCTGTAAATCTGGTTTTAAAACACAACAAAAAAAAGCCCTGAGAATATCGTATACAAAAGAGCTATCTTTATACAAGGCTGCTGTTTTGTGCCACTCCCTAATTACGTGTCTGTATAGAATGAAGAATTCCTAATCCTGTGTGGAAGCATCTGTTCTCTCAGGTGGGCCATTCTGCAGGTTCCCAGGCCAATTACAAGTAAATACTATTCTGAAAATTTAAAGTCTTTTTCCCCTTTTGCTTTTAAAAACAACTAAGTTTATTGCTTAAATTAATATTAAGGTACAAATTTCATTAAGGAGTGTAATGGAAAGTTGCTTGTAGAAGACAAAAACTTTATTTTTCCTATTCAGTTCTCTCTGACTAGTCAGTTACTTTACCTTTTTGAAAAGTCAAATTCTAAAAGACAAATAAATCCTTCGCTGAGATCAAGAAACCAGGCTCCCATTAACTTCATGAGGAGCTGCACCTTTCAGGGCAGAATTTGAAATTGATACTTGGCATTGGCTTGGGATCAGCTACGTTTGGGGCAAAAAGCAAACAAAAGTTTTGTCTATATAAGGATTCCAGCAGCGGACATGGCAATAACTGATGTTAAAATGCATTTAGTCAAAAGCCTTGCCTATTTAATCCTTGGTATAGACAAGTTGCTAGTGACCACTGGTGTTTTTAATGCTACCTTGACTGCCACTTCTGAGAGCAAGTTTAAAGAATGGTGTTGAGTACCAGTAGGCAAAAGAAGTGGTCAAAATGCTTTTGATTTCAATTTAAAACACGCACATGCACACGCACAAAGGAAAAAAATGACTAAATTGTTGCAAAGCTTTTGCCATTTCTAACCAGCTACATTTAGTCCTTGTCCATACTAGCTCTCCCAGAGTTCTTGCCAGTGGTGGAACAGCATTGGTGTAGGCAATAATTATAGGGGGGGTTTTATGCTATTGTTGTATTGCTTACTTATTGTAGACAGAGACATAGACTGTAATTCTAAATGTTCTCATGTTTTACTTAGTCATCTCATACCTTAATTAACTAGATTTTTAAATTAATCTTTACCTTTGTTGAGAAGATAAAGTAGAGGGAGGGATTCTAAAAAGGGTAGAATATGTGGCATTTGTAACCAGTTTCTTCTATGTTTTAGTCCAAGTCTTTAAATGGAATTTGTGATAAGATGATAAGATCAACTACAGATCCATTGATGAGCCAGTGTGCATGTTTGGAGGAGGTTCATTTAACCAACATTAAACCTGGGGAAGGCCTGGTAAGAACTAATTTGTTTTTCTTATGCAATTACCCTATGGGTAAGTGGTGTGCTGCACCTGTATTGTTAGTGATGAATTTGCAAGCAGTTTCTCCTACAACTTATTCCCATTAAAACCGTTGTGATTCTGTGGGAGGGATTGGACACATGAGTGAAATGATATATAAGATCAATCCTCTTTTTAGTAAGCCTACAAACAGGTTGTGTGTTGACATGGCAGGCAGTAATTAGGATGAAGTTCAGAGGTTTAGAATCTATGCATATGTAGCTGATTTAAAAAAACCCATAACTTTGTAGTGGTAATATGTCATGTACCCCTGTTAACTTGCCTGAAAAATCACTGAAAATGTAGTGCTTTATTTGTGCGAATCACCTGCAACAACTGTATATAGACAATTTTGGATGGCCTTTTTTGGTGGCACATTGGGTGTATGTTGGGGTGTTTCTTTTTAGTAGGAACGTACAGTAAACATTTGGCCTCTCAGTGATATTTATCAACTATATCTCCAACACAGATAAAGCCAGTTGATCTAGCCAAAAGTTCTACTTAGATGAATGCTTTTTATAAGAGACTTAAGATGGAAGCACAAACTAGACTACCCCTTTTCTGAGAAATACACCTTCCTATACCCCTTCATGTACCTTGTGCATTGAATAAGGACACTAACAGCATAGAGCCTTGCTGGCTTGGGGTCTGCAAAAATAGGGATATGTGTAGGGAACCTTTCACAAGTAGCCCAGAATATTGGCTAAGTACAGACTGTCAAAAGTCTGAGGCTGAATCGATTCAATCTTCACAAATTAGTCTAAGCTGCTTAGATTGAATCAATAAGCAAGGGAACAGACATTGACTTTTGATTATGGAAATACAGCCACATGCCTGCTGTGGCCCAGGCCAGAAACTGGGGGTGCTACAGCATGCCTCCCTGCTTGGCTGGAGCAGGCAGATGCGGCCAAGGCTAGCCCACCCACCATGTGAGGAGGGGAAAGGGGGTTTGTAGGGAAGGTGCAAAGCATCCTGGGATGCTAGGGGACCTGTGAGTTAACTTGAATTTGGAGGGGATATGAAACAGAAGTTCAATAAACTGATTTAACCTAAATCAGTTAAGTCTGATACTATATCCATCCAGGTTTATCTTAAACTGGTTTTGGCCACTTTGAAAGTGGTTCATGTACACTGAACTGTTGTGTTACAGATTTGAACTGGCTTCTGATCACTTACACTGGTTTATGTGTAATTTCTGTCCCTAGCCATTGAGAAGGAAAACAAAAAACTCTGTTGCTTTTGCTTTGAGACCAAAAGGTGGGAATTCCTTGCATGTAAATAGTGCTTTGCTTTTGTACAGTACTCCTCTTCTACAAATGAAAAAAAAATCTTCACTCACAGATGAGGAAATTGAACTACCAACCTGCAATGGTAGAGATACCAACCATGAATATTTGTTAGTATTTTGGTTATAGAATATATAAGTTATATGTATTTAGTTAGAATATTAGGTAGTATTGACTTGTAGCTGGCCTGTTTAAAACATTCACACACTTCTTTTCTTTTACATTTAACATTGCATCCATACTGCAGTACGGTAAAATGGTACAGGCGCAGGTTGTCTACAGGGTAACGTTACAAGCTGGCTTGTGTTTGGAACAAACATTTTTGGATATACCAACAAAATATGAAAAGCATTTAGTATATTTTTTTAGAGAAATTTTATAAAGGTGCTTGGTACAGAAAGATTAATAACCATCAAGCAAAACAAAATCTTCAAGTGTAGAAAAAGGTATAAAAAGTTCACATGGTTTGTTCAAGGTTAAAAGGGGAATCTGTGTCGAAACCAAGATTTAGGACTTAAGAGTTTCTGATATCTTTCTTTGGTGCATTAAAAATGTGTAAGTTACATTGGTAAAGGTGACTTGCAAGGGGTAAAGTTATAAAATACACTGACTGGTAAGTTTTTGTAAGTACTGAATCTCTGAAAATTCTTAAATAGTGAGGTATTTAACATGTTTTGATACTAGGTAACACTGCTTACTAACTTTGAGTCTGGGAATATGAAATAATCAATTTTGAGTATGTTACAAGGGATAGCTTATGTAACAAAAAATGAGTGTTTGTTTAAACTTTTTCATTTTTAACACCCATTAGGGAATGTACATCAAATCAACTTATGATGGATTGCATGTAATTACTGGAACTACAGAAAATGTAAGTATATTGTATTTAATTTGTGGTGGGTGTATTTATAATTAAAGTGAAATTGTAATCAGAGCAGATTGCTAAATCTTATTCCTTTCATTTTTAGTTTGCTTTCTTCTGCTATGAATAGATCTCATTCTGTAAATAGTGTTTTGTATATGCTTTGTTAGACTTCATCTCACTGCAGCATTTTCCATCAGCCAGATGATACCTGAATTGTTTTAAAACATGTGTGCCATTAAAATATACACCTTCATTAGTAAAATTATTGTACGTGGCAGATAATTTTATGGTAGATTATCTAACAAATCCTTATTGAAAAAAAAACTACTCTCCCTTAATAAGAGCAGGTGGGGTAGCAGCATGTTCATTCCAATAATGAATGGCAAAGTTAGGGAATATAATAGGGAAAACAATAAATTCATTAAACTTTCTTCTTTGGATTAGTTTGATGGAAAGGCAGATAAAATTGGTGGAAGAGGAGCTGTGCTCCTTGATGATAGTCACCTGGCATGCTGGGACAGGTCAGCTTAATAAGCAGCATTTTTATTTCATTGTTATGTTGGGCCCCCCCATGTGCCTCCGCATGGGAGAATTCTCCCAGGTTTTCTCTCCAGGTAGAGAAATTTACAAGAGTCATGAGTACAAACATTTGAATGCTGAGGCCGTGAAGAGTGGAGAGCTTATAGTGCTGATACTGTGCAGCTGGTGGGGTGTGGAGTGAGGGAAGGCATGCTCTGCAAGCTTCCTTAGTCTGCTGGTGACATCACAGTAGTGCATAGGGAAGCCCTGGTTAGCTAATCCAGACTGCTCATGGTCAGCCTGTGTTTCCCTGCAGCACAATGTGGGGATTATGAAGGGTGAGGGTTCTGGGGCAGCAGAGTCCAGTGAGTGATATGATCTCCCTGGGGGAGAAGCAGGAAGACTGTTTTCCTCTTAGAGAAGCTATGGCATGTACAGACATTTGCTGTTCCTGGAGCAACTCTCCTGGGAATGATGTAACCCTGGTTGTTCCTAAGTTATTTTTGTCCTGTAGTGACTGTTTTTATCTTGGGAGAAAAAAAATTAAATATCTGTACACTCATGGTTTCTTCTGGAAGAACAGCAACTCTCCCAGGATAAACTGAATGTATGAGGCCACTTACGTAAGTACTATGCAAATACACAGTGCAGTGGAGTTTTTGGTCAATGACTAGGGCTCCTAGACAATATTGTAATACAGATACAGAGTAGTAGTTTCTTTATATGGATGATGTCGTTGTTGAAGGGAAGAACTGTGGTGGTGGTATGTGGGGGGTTTTTTGTGGTTTTGTTACTGACTAGAAAAGAACTGTGGTGGTTCCAGCTGTACTCTGGCTAAGTCAGAAAGGCCTGAGATGGATGGGATACAAATCTGTAACTTACTGTTTATAGAGAAAGCTGAAAGCTTTTATATCTGCCAACTCTTAATCTTATTGGATTGTTTGGCATAACTTGTTCAGCATGGGATCTAAAGTACAGATTGAGTCTACTTGGCAGTGACTTCAACATTTCATGTGATAAATATGAAAGATTGTAACATTGGCTACCGCCAAGTTGTATATACATTTCATTTTAAACAAGGCTGAATGTCATGAATAAGATTCTGAGGCTACTATAATTTTGGGCATAAAACAGAACTTTGTATCTGACTGAATTTGTAAATAACAGTTCCTCTTGAGGAAACTGAATTTCCCTTGGAGAAATTCTAATGGCTAGAAGTAATAATTGGCTAGAGCTACAAGCAATTAATTAATCTCTCTTCCCGTCTTCCTTATGACAGTGGGTATATTTTAGAATGGTCTAAGTTGTATCTATTTTCTTTGTAGCTTTGACCATTTATTTACTTTATAAAATATCTACTTTTATCTTATGTTAATTAAAATCCATCCAGGTGTATTTTACTGCATCAACCCAACTGAACAGTTCAGGGGAAGCTATACACTGTCTAATTTCAGTCAGTTGACAGGATTTCCGTATTTTTCCTGCCTACTTACGACTTCCTATGTTGTATGAGAATGCGTTTTCCAAAAGCAAATTTTCCATTTTCCTCTGTATTTGCAATAAGAATGGAATTTCAGCTGACACTGGCTATAAAAGTACACTGAGATTTCCCCCAAACAAATTGTTGATCACGTTGCATGATATTCTGGCATCAGTATTATGTGTGTGAATTGGTTTCCACATCTGTAATCTTAGCTTCAGATTTGTCATTAATTGTGATCATATTCTATACACATCCCTTTGTAGGAGGGCCAGGCCTCAAGGGTGGCTGTGATGCCCCCTGGTGGTCAAACAGCTACTGCCTCATTCCGGTTCTAGGTGCCTTCTCTTCCGCTCTCACCTGGCACACTTCTGATGTAATTGTTAGATTGTTAAAGGGAAGCTGTCTGAGAGTCCAAGAACATACCCTCATTTTTCCTTGCCAGCGCAGCTCCTGGACCCCACTAACTCAAACCCAATCCTTCGGCCAGGAGGACCCACCCAGTGTACGTGTCTATTCACAGCTTCTGACCTCCCCTACAGCACGCCTCGCAGGTTTCATGCATCATCACTGAAGTGGGACACTTGTTCCCAAAGTTACTAGGCCGCCTCAGGTCTTGACTCCCTTGTTGGGGCTTTTGCCTTCCAAGCTTCCATCCCTCTATTCTAGCTGGTCCCTTAGCCAAGGCCCATTGTCCCAGACCTGACTTCTGGGCTGCAGTCCTGGCAGTTGTCTGTCACTCTGGACTTCTGGTCCATGCCTCTTGCTCTGGCCTCCCGGCCCTAGATTTTGCCCGTTTGGGCTGCTGGGCCCCTAGTCTCTACCTTTCTAGGTTGATCTCACCCCCTACTGAGCTACATGTCCCTGATCCTTGCTCTTCCCCTCTCAGGCTATGAGTTCACCTCTCTTGGGCTAGGGGTTCCTGACCCTGGTTCTCCCTCTGCTTGCGTTCTGGGCCCCTGGCTCTGTCTCTGCTACTCACATAATTTTTTTCAGCCCCACTCTGGGCCAGGCTCAAGGCAGTTGGGGGCCCTTCAGGCAATACTGGGACCTCCAGACCTTTTCTGTAGTCCCAAACCACTGGTTTAGTACAACAAAATGGGAAAGCAAGTGCTTAACACAAACCATCCCTTCTGAGCAAACAAACATCAAGAAAGGAGAAGCACGCTATCATTTTAAGAGGAAGCCTCCCCCCTCGGGGCAGACCCACAAACACCAAAACAGGTCTTACCCCTTGGTTTGCACTGCTCCACTTGGGGCATTACACTCTGCTTCCAGGTCCCTTAGGTAGCTCCCTCTCCTTCTGGCACCCATCCTCCACAAGCTCTCCAGTCTTTACTTGCAGTCCCAAATGTAACAGGGTCCCAGGCGCGAGCCCAGCCACAGCCATAGTCTTCTCCATGCAGGGCTCCTTCCCTGGTAGCCTGCAGACTTACCATCAGTCTTACAGCAACAGCTACCTCTCAGCAGAGCTCTTTTCCCTTCTGGCTCTAGGGCTAGACTGGCTGTCCTGGCCCAGGCTCTGTCCCTTTCTAATCATGAGACTTCCCTGAGTTGGCTACAGGTGTCCTTTGATTAGGCTTGCTGGCTTTACCTATGGCAGCTTACAGCTGTAGCCTGGATGCTTCAGCAGTGCCTAGCTTCCCCTGCAAGGCTCTCTCCTCAGTTGTATTATTGCAGAGCACTTAGATCCTCAACTCAGGGGCAGGTTACAAGCCCCTGAGGCCTGCTTTTTTGAAGCTCCTAATAAGAAGCCTTACCCCATCTCAGAGCCTCCATTCAGTTGTTCCCCCCTTTAAGGTAACAGATGCCTTATGCTCCTGTTACACCCTTCAGATAAACATTTACTTGCAAAGAGAAGTGCTTTGTGTGCGAGGTGCGAGCCGGGTTGCGGCTGTTGCCCCAGTGGGTTCTATCCCCTGATGTTAAGTTAGCGAGAGGGAGAGGTGGACTTGCTGTGGTTCCAAGATATTTCTTTTATTTAGTCTCTTTCTTACATGCACTCCACTGATGTAGATGTGGTTGCGCAGGCAGTTATACTTAGTTCAGTCCTGAACAACGACAAATAAAGTTTCTCACTTGTGCACCACCGGTGTGAATGTGGCTGCACGGGCGGATTCCGTCCCGGTTCAGGTGAGAGACGAAGGGAAGAAAACAACAAAACGCTGGATCTTGGTTCGGTTGGGGGGTAATCGATAATCAAGCATCCGTCCTGTTCCGATGGAACGGATGTAAGGTAAACCGACGGCTCTCGGGTCAGGTGAGGGCGAAAACAATAAACCGCTGGACTTCCCGAGAACCAAAAGAACCGATCGGCAAATCGTTTCTCTGGAGACAGGAGAAGCCGTGGGAAGCTGGCCAGGCCTACCCACTGAGCGGTGGAAGCTCCGGCTTCTGTTCTAGCTAGCTGACTAAGAGCGATGGATGCTCTGGTGTTTGCGCGCT